TGTGTGTTTTTGGTTCAGTGTTAAATGGCTTAACCAACAAACAAACAAACACAGAAACAAAACATTCTGGACCGGACTGAAAATGAGCGAAGCAAACGTTACTGAGTTTATGTTAAAATAAACTTTTTTTTAAGCTTCCTATTCATTCAGCTGAGTTACAGTCACACTCTCCACCAGTTGTCCATGCCTGTAACCTGTAATAAATAAAAATGAAAACTAGACTTCTATAAAAAATATCATAAAATGCAACTATAAAACCTTACAGGGATACAAGTAGAACTTTAAAACAATAAAAACAAATAAGCAAGAATAAGGAAACACACCCTAGAAGAGATCTGAGATATAAAAGTGATTAAATAAATATTAAAGCATCAGGTCTCTGCACAGTGGTGAGGAAAAAAAGAGTCTTAAAGCAACCCTGTGCAGGACTGTCACTGATGCGTTGTGCTGCTCTGCCACCTTGTGGTTCACTTTGGTGTTGCACACATTCAGGGCTTTCTCTGCAGACTGTCGCCTTGTGTGTGTGTGTGTGTGTGTGTGTGTGTGTGTGTGTGTGTGTGTGTGTGTGTGTGTGTGTGTGTGTGTGTGTGTGTGTGTGTGTGCCCTTGAAAAAAACATCTACAGCGCCATCTCCCGGTTAGAAAGTGATGTGAGACTAGCTTACAGGCGTGTAGGAGCCTCTTTCCATTCATGAAGTGACAGATTGATAGAAATCTGGGAACCACATGCACACTCTGCAGAAAAAACACAGAAAAACACATCAGAAATTTCCCAAACAGTGTCACACTCAGGTCTAATTCAATCTGCAGAGCTCAGTGTACCAGATTACAGATTATCAGCCTGTTCCTCCTGAGTCAGGCAGCATTTTAATGCTCGTTTTGACCTCCTTTGCGGCCTGCGTGGGTGGAGCTCGACGCCCATCACTAAATAATGACCTACACCGCAGATTACTCACCGGAAAGTGTTTGCTTTACTTTTCTCAAACTTTTTTTTTTTACATTTTTTTTTATCTGACTCTATCTTGCTAAACTCCACCCACCCAGAGAGCCAAAAGAGGATAAAACAAACACATTAGAGCTGACTAATAAAGCCTCCAGTGCACTTGAACATGAAACATTCATGAATTTGGCCTGAAAATCTGATTTCCATGTGATCAGAAGCAAAGGGGACTTCCGACCAATTGCACGCAGAGGGTTTTTACTTGACAGGAATCAACATTTTTACGTTAAAAAAAAATCCCTTTTTGCAGCAAGTAGCGGCAGATGAATACCTGCTGTTTTACTGCTGTTCATTTGGACTATATAAGACATCTTTTGGTGTCCATATACTTTTGCAGCCCTTGCAGGCGTTTTAGTGCACAATCGTGAGCTTCTAAAAATAAAATCAGTGGGATTAAATGTGCCCCAACATGTCCCAGACCATGTGCATATTTCTGACAGAGGATTCGTTCTAAGCTAAGAGGTTTGAACATACAAGCTCGCAGATGACCTCCTACTTACTGTAAAACCAAAGAATATAAAGAACTTCAGTCTTTTAATGGTACAATCTGCTTGTAATATGCTTGTTTGTGTTACAACAGCTTCTTATAGTCTCCTATTTAATTTCTCTTAAAACATTAAAAAAAAACTCGTGCGAAATAAGGCACACTCTCTTTAAGTTACAAGCTTGTACCAACGCAGGACATCATGAAAATACTCCTTAGCGGGACTTAAAATGAGATAAATACAACCTCAAACGAACAACAGCACATGACATAGTACACTGTGTCATTATTTATTTAACAGAAACTGAGCCAAAATACACTAACAGTCCTGTGAAAACCCATAGTACCTCTATAAAGCAGATGTTTTGCTAGTTTGATTAGTTTGATTTGGGCACCTTGCAGTCACTGAGTCCAGACCTGTGTCCACACCACTGAAATGCTGTGGTGTGGATTTAAGAGAGCTGTGCATGAACTTCAATGACCTGAAGCAATGTCCTAAAGAAGAGCGGGCTAAAACTCCTCCACACTGATCAAGTGTAAAGTTACTGCTGTGAAAGGTACTTCTACAAGTTGCTGAATCATGGGGTGCACTTAGTTTTTCACACAGTTTCTGCCTTTTTGTTTGTTTTATGAGATAAATAATGTCTAAACATGTCTTATGTCATATGTTGCTGTTCACATTGAGGCTGTATTTACTTGATTTTCAGACCAGCTTATTCATGTGTATCTTTTCCATGTTCATGATCAAACCGAGTCAAACGTTCACTCTTGGTAAAAGTTACATACTGATGTGTTTACATTGACCCTAGTGTGACCCTGACGGCTGGGAAATTGCATTAAAGGGGAGGGGAAGCAAGAAAGACTGGAGACAGTCCTGCTTTGCTTTTCTTCACTTCATCTAGTCATTTAAAAACTACAAACAACTTCTTTTAAAGCCTGGCTTCGTGTTTCTTTCTTTCTCTGCTATATTGCATAAAAATTTAAAAAAGCAACTTGCCAACTCAAAGCAGCCCTCAAAGTTTAAGCTGCGTTTTCTCTGCATGTGGCATTAAAACCAGAAGACAAAGGAAGAAAAGAGAGGAAGGGAAGGAAGGAAGCAAGGAAGGAGGGGAGACAAACATCCCTAACGAAGCTGCAGGGAGGAGAGGCGATAATTCACCAACACCCACACCTTCTCAAAAGCAGTCGGATTCCTGCTCCTTTCAAAATGAGGGTGATGGGTGCACTCGGCAGATCCCTCCCACGCCGCTTAGCGGCTGGCTTCCGCCCACCGCCCGTGGAGCCGCCCACCTCCTGCCGTTGCCGCGGCAACACATCATCATCATCATCATGAGCAGTGACTTGCACTGGAGGAGGAGGTGGAAGGACAGGGAGGGGAGGGGTGGTTGTTTGAGCAGGGCTGCCACTGTGAGCAGCAAAACGGCGTGGGTGTTCATGAGTTGAGTTATTCTCCTGAGAAAATCTGTCCACGTGTGTGTGTGTCTGTGTGCGTGCGCGTGGAGAGACAGAGGGGGAGGAGAGAGGGAGAGGATGATGGGAGGTATGCGAAAAGGACCTGCGTCAGAGTGAGTCATCGGCCGGTTTCACAATGTGTTGATGTGACGCTGATGCAAATGGTCGGCGCAGGGATTCATCTCTATAAACCAAAATAAATAAAAAGAAGTTGAAGAAGAAAACAAACACAAGAAGAAGAAGGAGGAGAACAAGAGAATTCTTTAGAGGTGTCTCGGTGGCACCTGGAGGACGAGCGCTCCTCACGGCTCGAGTTCTCGAGTAGCTTTCGGAGCTCCGCCCTGCAGCGGGAAGCTAATATGTAGTCACACTAAAGATTGTTATCACTAAATGTTAGGTTTGTTACTATGACTACAACCTGTTATTGGAGGACCACAAAGAGCTTTCTGCCCCATTAGTCACATACCTTCTTATTCTGCCTTAAGCAATGGCTCAAAATGCTGTTTTTGGTGTGTGCGTGAACATGCCAAAGTTTCTTAAGAGGGCTTATTTTTTTTAAGTATGCTTCTTTTTAATTACCAGGAGTTTCAGTTTCACTCAGAGGCGACCATATTTGGGCAAGAGGGCGGTTCACTTTCCTCTGATTAGGACAATGTTTACCATAAACTCATGAGGAAAGCATTTACTGAGGTCACAGATTAAGAGAAAAGCAGTGTTTTTTTCATCATAGACTTCTATGCAATCAGACTTACAGAGGAGTCGCCCCCTGCTGGCCATTGGAAGAATGCAGGTTAAAGGTACTGTTTATCATTACCCTACTAACCTTTTCACCACCAGGGGCCAGCATTTTGCCACTACTGAGTGTTTCAGATGTGTGCTCCTTTAAACTTTTAATATTTCTTTTCAGCTACTCCACATTTACTAAAGAGGGTCTGCGGTTATAAATAAGGATGTGTTCTTAATGAGTTACTTGTTATGGACCGGCCAAACAGGTCACTGTGCTCCCTGAACTGAATTCTGATCCACTTTTGGAAGTAAAAATATCAAACCAAGTGATACGATTTGGTAATCCATCCATCCATCCATTCGCTACCGCTTATCCTTTTCAGGGTCGCGGGGGGTGCTGGAGCCAATCCCAGCTGTCATAGGGCGAGAGGCGGGGTACACCCTGGACAGGTCGCCAGTCTGTCGCAGGGCTAACACACAAGGACAGACAACCATTCATACTCACATTCACTCACAGATTCACACCTAGTGGCAATTTGGATTATCCAATTAACCTATCCCCACAAACCAAATTGTGGGGACGATTTGGTAATGAAAGTGTTAAAAAGTCAAAATCGACTGCACTATAGTACCCAAGCTTAAATTAATTTTTGGATAAACAGTATCTTAGCGCAGTGATTCCAAAAGTGTAGGCCGGGACTCCCTGTTGGGTGGTGAAGATTTGGTGGGGCCCATGGGTTTTTGGGGTTTTTAAGTGGGCTGGTGAAGGATATAAAAGTGGCAGCATTCATCTCTACTATTTTTTTGTTGTTCTTGTTCTTTTATGTTTTTATTTAAATGAAAGAACCAAAGTGAGTTGCTCTGGTGCTGACCCCGTGACTCATCGCACTGCCTTGTGGTTCTGAGTGGTATTGCATGAAATTGCAGCCTTGCCCTTTTTTAACAACAGTTGATATCGCTTCAACGCACCACATGGAAGCTGTTACCTTGAACTAATTTTAGAACCTTTTAAACTATTTTCAAACATTGCAATAAACAATAAGAACCTTTCAAAAATAATAGTAAAAATTTTATTTAATTTTAAAGGTCAGCAGTATTTCAGGCGCAACAAGTAACGGAGGCATTGTGATATACTTTGAGTATTATGGCTGACAATAAGCTCAAGTTTTGGGCCAACATCAGTTTTTTTTTCAAGGGAATTCAGCAAGTCTCTGGCAAATGGGCAGACGATCAGTTATAATAGTGAAGTCCCAGGACCATCCCACAGATGCAGGCATACCTTTCACGATCAGGTTCAAACCGGATTTGGACGACATTGATCACAGAACTCGCCACACAATAGAGTTCAAAAAAATAAAGTTTAATGTTTATGTGCTGTATAACAAATAAAATATATTAGTGTTTAAAAAACAGGTGCATAACTAGGTGAAGCCTAATCTATCACTTTACAATAAACAGTGAGGAGAAGGGTGATCAGTGAGACGGCAGCTCAGACATGCGACAGTCACGCCAACAAGGCCAGTGTTTGAGCCGATCGGGCTGGGAAAAAACAAAACAAAACAAAAAATTCCCAAGCGATATATATATGTATATATGTATATAATTTTTTTTTTACAAGCCCAAGTCTTTGCTAGTTAAAACAAAACCACCTCATGGAGTTTTTGTGAAAGGAGAATGATGTCTTTAAATACAAACATGGTGCTCTGTGCACTAAAAGCGAGACAACACAAACATTTCCCACCCTGATGACAGACATACAGTTACTGAGCACAAAAAAGATGAATCCATATAAATGCAAATAGACTTATTACTTACATAAATATTGCATTGGCCTGTCGTTACGCCGAGTGAGACTAAAACTATCTGTAGAGGGGGGCAGGGTAAGAGTCTGACCAAAAACTGTCTGGACGTCATCATCATCATCATCTCGGACCAAACAGACATATTTACACAATGTGGCGAACACGTAAAAACACAGCGAACACTTAATTGTTATGTATCTACCTCTAAACAGCAAAAACACATTTGAAATATGCACCGATGGCCATCACAGGTGGATTAAACACTGTTAAGAGCTAAGGCTAACAACATTATCATCATGTAAAGCATGTTTTTTATATACCAGACACGTTCACGTGGTTGTATTTTTTTTCCTCAGTGACACTTAAAAGATTTCTTTTTCTTTGTTTTTAAATGTTTTTGCTCTACATACATAAACATTGTATTGACACCAAAATCTACAGCAGAGTTACACTCGACAAAGGAAAAACCCTGGTTTGAGAGATTAGGCTAGCACTATTTGTTATCACGGTACTATTTACAGACCCAGGCTGCTGCTCCACGCACAGCAGCGGCAAACAGGAGTTTTCCTTCCCCCCCAGCTGCTGTTGAAATTAAAATAAAAAAACAAAACCTGCAAACCTGCAAGATTTTAATTCTGTCTTCAGAAAATTTTTCCTTAACCCATGGGGCTGCTGGGAGCTTGTTGGATCTGTTCTAAAAAACCTCACAGGCATCTTTTTATTCCTGAAATACTCCCTGTTTGCAGATGCGTGGTTTTGGTTCAACAGCAGTGTTTTGCTAAATTACAAAGTGAAATGAACCAATTAGCTCGGCCTCTGGCATGCCAGCCCAGCCATTCTGCCAAGACGGATGACAGAGGTCCCCTGGTGCTACTCCACAACAGCTCTTGTACATCCTCTTTTTAAATTACCTCCCATCCCATAAATATACACAAGACAAGAGCGAGGCAGGGAGGATTAATCCCACCTCGCCAGTTTCCCTATTTGAAGTGAACGATAAAAAAATGAAAAACACAATAAAAAAATAGGAACTGCTACAGGGGCTGTATCTTAACTCAGTCTCCCTACAGTACTTACACCTTTGTTTCAAGTTACAGTATGCAGACACCTACGTTAGGATTGGGAGAGTGACGGAGGCTCAGAAGATGACACAAGCTAAACGCAGCTAAAATAAAAAAAATAAATACATTTAAAAAAAAAAAAAGCTTCTTGTTATTCTAAAAAGTTAGGCTTTGCTTCTAAAGTCATGAAAAAAATCTAACTTTATCACTTTTATCTTAAAATGCTACTTTAACATATTTTACAATAAAAAATTTTTACGTTTTCATGTTTGGTCATTTTTAGACTTTAGAAGGTTTATGGATGTCTTGTTAGCTTCTGTTTAGTATTACACTGATTTAGAGACACCCTGTATGTGTGTTGCTTTGAGCTAAATGCTAGTATTAGCAACTAAAGTGGTCACAGTGACATTAAGCCACCATCTTGCTAAAAAGCACTAAATACAAAAGCAGCTGAACGTGATGGGAAGGAACTAAGTGTAATTTATGTCATGAACAACAAAAACGTTTGTCTCAAAATTTGTGCTTCTTTATCTCCTTGTTATAGAGCTTTTTTTGACTTTATTCAGACTGCAAATGTCAAGAGATAAAATCTCTTCAGCATGACCTGGGTCTAACCCAGGGTTTCATTCCAGGAGGATGTGCCTAAAGCACTTTACCTAGAAGTCCAAGAGCTATCCAGGTCAAATGAACCAGCTCAATTCGCTTTTTTCGCTACTCTGAGCTCCCCCCAATTGATTGAGCTCCTTTGGCCCTCACCAGAACATAGGTGAGGGCAGGAACATAGATCTGCCGGCTGAATAGAAGCGTGGTGTTTCTTCTTTTTTTCTTCTCTTGTTGCTAGTCAGACTTTCTAAAAACTAAACTGCAAATGTCAAAAAAATTAACTAGCTGTGTAGATGTGCCCCCTTATTCATCTTCTGGGGAGTATGAATGTCTAAATTTGATGCTAGTCCAGAGATATTGACCAAAGTAGGTAACTGACTGACTCACTGAAATTCCGATTCCTACATATACTGAATAAAATACTCAGACACGACACATAAAATATTTAGCTATTTATCCTGAGTTTTGGCACAGATGTCATCGCCTTTAAATATTACTTTTATAAAGCGTTAACAACAATGAGGTGAGATTAGCCCAAAATTAGCTTTTGAAAGTCTACTTAAATCCCTCATTTTAAGGAACCTCCAAATGGGGTGTGGCCCTGTTTGGAATAATCAAATTTCACAAGTTTTTATTTTCCAAATTCTGAACAGATTTGAGCTAGCAGCCTGAACAAGGCCTGAGATTCGTCCTCTGGGGACCACGAATGTCTTTTCCAATTCATTTAGACTATAGAAAGTTTTCAAAAACGTGGTTGTTAAATATTTAATAAATAAATGCCAAATCTGATAACGTTCTCTTTCAGATTTGGGAAATATAAAGTGTTATCAAGAAGCTAAACTTACAGCACCATGGCAAAAGTTTTCCAGAAATTAGCTTTCCCCCCATCTTTGAATCTACGCGTGAGTTAAGATTCAGCCCCAGCATCACAGCCTGCACTCTGGCTGTCCAAAAAAAGCAGGAAAACCAACACCAAGGCAGAGGTAAAGAGGACACGAATGTCTGCAACAGATTACTCTTAAATTACAGGTACATCTAATGTGTACAACTAATCAACAGACAAAGACCAGAGAGCACTGAAGAACTTCTCAAAATGCTCTTTAGGTGCTTTGGCAGATACCTTTGAAAACAAAGAAACAAACATACTAAATCAAAGAAAAATAAATGCTATTCATGAGGCAACATTGGTTGTTAAGGCTCTACTGTGTCTGTGCTTGCTTAGTATCTATTGATGGATAGTAACTGCATACTGTCAAGTGTGAGTAGAATGAAGTGGGGCGGGGTACTAAGGGGGGGGGGGGGTCAAATGGTGAGGCGGGAGGCACTATGTGGAGTCTTCAGGCTCTGACTTGATGGTCTTCTTCTCTGCGTTCGTGGACGCCCGCTGTGACGTTCCATTTTCTGAAGGAAAAAGGAGAATGTCATCAGCAAAGAGCTTTATAATAACAAACAAGTCCTGCAGAGCAGTTACTGTAAAACACTTTTGTTGTATGTATCCTTCCATGAGCTTAAATCTTGTCCAAAGTGTCTTTGAGCAAGGCACAGCCTTTTAACTTCCTGCTCATTTGAAAAATCATTACATTTTTTGTATGAATATCATTTCAGGTTAGTCGCCATCACTAACCTATTGCTGGTGTTTTGGTCTCATCTGTGTTGCTGTTGTTGCTGTTGATGTGGTTGTGATGGCGCTTCAGTTCATTGGCTAGCTGCTTGCCCAGTGGGAGGTCGCCTTCCTGCATGTTCTGACTTACCACCCGCAAGTTTATTGGTCGTTCATCTGGAAAAGGTAAAAAATAAAGGCAAAAACAGTTAGCTTTCCCAATCAGTTTCTCAAAGAAAAGTGAGCTAAAGAACCTTTAAAGTACCTTAAACTGTTTTTTATAACTGCCCTCTTCGCCACTATTTTCACCAGGAATTTCAGGGAATAACAACCAATAGTGACATAAAAAATATTCAGTAAGCAACAGCCCAGTACAAAATGAAAATTTCACCTACTATCTCTGAGATTAAGCTAAAGTAAATCCACTGGGATAGAAGTCAACATCAGCCCAGATGTTTGATGTAACACCAGCTTTGTTTTACATGTTCAATATTCCCAGTGGCAACAAAATGAGTGTGTTTGTGTGTGTGTTAAGCTGCTGATCCCTCATGTTTGCCTTTTATTCGCCCCGAGAGACAAAAAAGAAACAAAGACGGAGGAGAAAAGGGTGGATGAGGGGAAGCTGTGACAGTATTTTCCACCACATTCGACTGCTCGTGCCCAATGCAGCTGTTATTTAGTTGTTTATATGCACATTAGCCTCCTGTCTTGGGATTGTTTTGCTGATATTTTATCATGTATAAGGTATGAATTTTACACACAATAAAAAGAAATGTGACATTAGAGCCAGATGACTTTGTCATTTTTGTAGCTATTTGCTAATAGTGCAGCTTTCAATCACACAACATGTGCTGTACTAAAAGATATGGCCTTTCATATATTTCCTGCTTTCTAAAGTTTCCATGCACTTTTTCCAAAAAAGGAGATAGAGTTCTGTTTTTGGGATAAAATTATTCAATTAAGCTGAAATAGATATAAAGGTCCTTTTCTTTTCTTTGGAGGGTAGACGAGCTTTAATAAGAAGAAGGTAAGCGAGGCATCGTAAAGATTTACTTCTGTCTGAGCCTGTTCAGCTGGACTTCATATGAAGTGTTTACACTGTCTGTGTAATCTCAGATGACTGTATAAAAAAGGCACTGCATAAACTTAGAGGACAGTGACACTGCAGCTTTTCACTTTCATTTTTAAGGCGGTGTCACACATAGTGTGTAAAATAATACATTTGCTGTTACAACTAACATATTCAGGTTTAAATAGTTTATCCAGAGACATTATAAACAGTGATGTTTGATGTAATCACAGTACATTAGAGTAAACTGTAAGCTACCTGACAGGATCATTAAATGTTCATCATCATAAATCTCCATCTCTGCCTGTCTGATTGTCTTCCTCACTTCTCTGTATGTGTCATTTCTCTCTCTTTTTGTCATGTTTCTTAAAAAAAAGTAAGTCTGACATTTATTTCTTCAGCATGTTGAGGATGTCCGCCTCTCGGCCTGTGACGGCTGTACCCCCTGATCATGAGACCCCAAATTAAATAAGCTGTTAAGAAAATGAATGCATGTTTCCGAAAATGTTTCACAATAAAAGCTTTGTTAAGCAACCAAATGTACTTTATACACTATTTGTACAATGCTGAGTTTGTACAAACAGTGTAATGCAGTGACTCTAACAAAGTCATTTACTAAAATTAACTAATTGATTAATATAACATCACTGCTTGATTACCAAATAAATATGCAGTAGACTGAGGTTAATTATACCCTTATAATGAGGTCTGCTATTATAACATGACATGACATACAGACTTCCTAGTTTTGGTTATTTTAGCTCTGCTAGAAAAAGTATATTTCGCAGACCAGCAGCTGCTCCAAGTGTTGCTTTTAGCCTGACTTTGCAAGGATGCCATGTTTCATCTAATCTTCCAGAAAATCTGCACAATATCTCAAAATATCCAGATGTTTTAGCTCAAACGGTCAGAAGCTGCAGTTATTTTCTTTCTTCTTTTCAAATTAGGTGAAACAGACTTGCCTTATTGGCCATACAAGTCTCCATTGCTCTTATGGAAATTTAAGGAGCTGGGTGCCATTAAATTATTGTGTAGGAAGATGATGAAATTAAAAGAGCTGTAGTCAAATCTCAAATGATGGAAAGCCAGGATGGACGCTGCATGTACCCCATGATTTAATCCTTAAGCCTCTACAGATAAATCAACTGTTTTATTGAAAGCCAACTTTTTAAAAACTATCTCAGCATCCACGCTGTTTAAAATTCCCAGCATTAACACTCAACATTTCTTATTGTTTTTCATTTTAAAAAATGCAAAAGAAGAGGTGCTTCTACTGAGCAGTTTGTTGTTAAATTTCAGGGTTTTATCCCAGTGGAATAAAACATAAAGGGGCAGAGAACGAGAGAATAAAAAGGAAACCTGCAGGAGAAGAAAAATGACAGAAGGGGGGAAGAAGAAGAAAATAAGAAAGGAGAGCAGAGAAGAAGAGGGGGAGGAGAGAGAGAGAGAAGTAAACAGCGAGAGAGAGATAGAGACGCCCCCCTCCAGGCAACTGGCTGGAGGTAAACAGGCGTGGGCGTGATAATTACAGGTGCATTGTGGGATTTGTGGGAACAGCGATATAATGAGCTGTCGGGAGTGGGTGAGGGAGGAAAAGGATAAAAATTAGATGAGGCCCGGAGGAGAAGTAAGATCCTGAATAATGATGCAACCCCCCCCCCCCCCCCCCCCCAACCTCTCTGTTTGAGAAATCGGAGTGGGAGCAAATGGAGATGAAGAAAAAATACAAAATAAAAGGTGACAGCTGCCACGGCAGCCGGGTGTGGAAAATCAGCACCTATAGGTGTTGTTTCCATCCACGCATCCTGTGACATTTATGACATGAAGTATGTCTGCAAATTACTTGGTGCACTCCAAGAATGTCGGCCTCTATTCAGCTTAAAGACCAACAAAGAGCAAAGATTTGGCTCAAAAACAAAACCCCAGCTGGGTGTTTTCTCTTGACTGGACACAAGGGGCAGCAGTGAGTCACTAAAACAAAAACAAAAACAAGAAAAGATGCAAGCCAAAAATGGGATATTTTTTTCTAGACTCAAGATTTTTGATCTCTGCTCATTAATCACAAAAAACTGACTGGGCGCCAGTTTAGCTCAGTGCGTTGAGCGGATGACCACATGCAATATGACTGAGAGCGGCCGGGTTCAACTCCTGAGATGTTTAACAAAAAAAAACGGACTGATTTATAGGAAGGGCAATATTTGGTGATGTGACTAGAAACTTTAAAAATATAAAAAGACGAGACGACAGAAACCCACTTAAACCATTTTTTTGAGTGTTGATTTTGCACAGTTTGTCCACCAGAGGTCCGGTGCAACTTAGGGTAAGCATGTTCTTGGATTGCAACAAACACAACAGCTGATCCATGCAAAGTCGATAAGAGCAAAAACCTGAATATCACATATTAAATCACTACACTGTTATCAGTTTTAAAAATCTGAAAATTAGCCAGGCAACTTTTGTTCAGTTATGTTTCAAAACGAAAATATTAAAATTACCAAGGAAAGACGTGCTGGGTGCTTTCTTTTAACTGGACACAGGGGGCAACATTGAGCCAACTATAACAATCGCGCAGGAATCTAAAAAGACTCGAACACGCCACACAAATATGAGGTTTATGTTTTGCTGAAAACAGATGTGAGTGACTTAACATGTTATTAAACTATTAGTATATTATTAAATTATATTTTTTAGCTCATAGACAGAAAAAATGCCCAGCATAGTCTCCATTTATTGGAGATTATCATACACTAAACATATAAACTACCAAGGAAGCTACAAAGGAAAAAAGCAAGGAAAAAAAAACACTAGGTTTTTTCTCTTGATTAGACACAGGGGGCACCAGTGAGCCAGCAACAACCAACAAAAGATACTAAAAATACTTGAAAAAGCCAAACAAATATAGAGTTTTTAATTTACTGGAAATCAGTTCTGGGTGTTTTTATATTAAAGGTTTGTTTTTGGCTGGATCTTCTTTTAGTGGATGCAGCCATAGATTTAAAAAAAAAAAAGAACATTTCCAGTGAATGGCAAGGGGTAAAAACAATCAGGTCAAAGTTACTTACTCTGAGATTTACTCCTTTTGCTTCCAACTGTGATTAAGACCAACAACAACTAGCAAAAGGTGCTAAAAATACTGCAACAGAGTGGAGATTTATGCTTTTGCGGAAGCCGTCATGGGCAGTTTTGCATAAAAAAAGCTTTTCTTCTGCTAATATGTGACAGAAAAACAGATTTATGGTTTACTGGAAGCGGTTTGGGGCTCTTTTTTTTTAATATTCCTGAGTTTCAGTTTGCTTTCAGAGTTGCATCTAACCTCATTATTCAGTCAGGATCGTCTTTCGCACGTCCTGGGAGATTTATTACTAGATACTAATATGCTTCAAGAGAAATGTTTGGTAAACTTCACAGAAACATTTAAATGCCAGAGTCCTTTAACTTTATGATCACACCTTAAACGTTGGATTGACGGGTTTGGAGTCAAAAGTATTTTCTCCTTGCACAAACCAAAGCGAGGCATCATAAAAATTTTAAGAGACTCCACCTTTTTAAATTCCTTTGTTGTGTAATTTTAATTGTGTTGTTATCGGCTGTACTGACAAGTATGACCTCTTACTGAAGAGGTGTGCCTGTTGCGACCAGAAATGTTTTGATAAGTTCAGGTTTCCGCTGATAAGCATCAAAGACGACGGGATTTCATGAGGGCCGTGGGTGGTTTTTATCTTCATCCCTTTTTAAAATGTAGCCTCTTTTCCATGTCACATTTGAATTCATTCCTTATGTTTTTGTAATAGTACATATCTAACAGTGGGGGTGAAACACGCCTCTGTTAACGGCCGCCCTACCTTGGCTGTCTCTGCTGGCGTCAACGGCTGCGTTTCCGTTGGTGTTCTGTGCATTGTTGAGGTACTTTAAGGCGGCGGGGGGGATCCTCCAGTCCAGAGCCTGGAGTCGTTCCTGGACAGCGGCATCCTGCAGGATCTCCATCTGCCTCGCCAGCAGACGCTCCAATTGCATCTGGTGGACACAAACAAAGAGCAGTCAGATATGAACTGTGGGTAAAAATATCTTCTGCAGTCTCTCGATCAGGGGTCTCCAACTCCAGTCCTCGAGAGCTACTGTCCCTACTCCAACACAGTTGAATCAGATGGTGGAATTACCTCTTCAGCATGCCATCAAGTTTGGCAAAGGCCTGGTAACAAGCTATTCATGTGATTCAGGTGTGTTGGAACAAGGATGCATCTAAAAGCTGCAGGACAGTAGCAATCGAGGATTGAAGTTGGAGACCCCTGTGCTAGATGTTAGAAAATACAAGCTTTCATATGAAGATGTGACTTTCACCTCTCAGTAAGACTGTGATAAATGGATCTGCTGAGACATTATAGGTAGATAAAAAAGTGGATTCTGAGCTTTACTGGTCTTTAACAAGTAAAAATACAAACTAGTACGGTTCAGAGGTGCACGTAAAGACCACCTTGAACGTGAGAACAAACAAATTTAAATCCAGTTCTTGGTTTAAAAATCTTCAAAGAAACTTTTAATCAAGTACCAACCACAATGTGGACTTTGTTCCAATGTTATAAAATAAACAAAAGAGGAATTCAATGCACCTTTAAGAAATAAAGGACATTTTAAGTGCAAATTACTTGTAACTGTTGGATTAGGATTACAAGTAATCTCTAAAACAAAAAAGAAACAGTGTTAAATCCAATAGATTTGGGCCTCATTCTTAAATTTTAGACCTTTCATAATTAAACATAATTAGCCTTTTTACATTTTAAAATATAATCAAAGTATCAGTTTAAGTTTAAATCTTCATTAAAGTAGGAGTTAACGCATAATGGCAGGAATTTTTCACTATAAATTTGACCTTCAGTTATTGCTAATACCAACTACAGAAATAATGACTCAAGTAAATACAGTGACACTCAGACCGTTGGGGAAAAGGTCATGGTCACACACACGGGCGTTTCCAGGATTTTCTCCAGGCACAAAAACCAGTCGGTGGAGGTGGGGAGGCTCCGTGGGAAATAAAAAACAAACCAGTTAAAACTATTTAGTCGTGGATAAACTTACTGCCTTCATAAATGTGCATCAGGAGACATCGCTGCCCTCTAACAATATAGCGGCTCGCCTGAAGCATGAGATTTAACGGCGAGCTAACCCAGTGTTTTAGTTTACTGAGTGGTAGAAGTTAAGAAAACATCTCACACATAGGGAGTCGTGAACAACAGGCAAAATGAACTCATTTATTCTTCTCAACTTAAAAAACTTTTTTTTTGTTGTTGTTGTAAATTTGCTTTCATTGCATATTATTATGTGACTTGACATTTGTAATATTTTGTAAGGAGGACAACACAGATTTTCCTTAAAAAGAGAATCAACACCTACAATCGCTGTAACTTCCACACATGGTTGCTCTGGTATAATTATAGGTGGGCACCAAGGCCACCCCAGCTCCCCCTCTTTAGCTACACCTCTGCATATAATTGCTAAACAAGCTGTGAGAGCACGAAGAAGCATCTGAGGTTAAACCAGTTTTACCTTCATACACAGATTAATTGATACATATGAATAAATCCTTTAAAATCCACCGATTTTTGCTGAATTTTATTCTTTTTGATAAATGCAGTGTCTTAATTTCAAAGTTATTACGTTCTAGTTTCTGATATTGTACTTATTTAACATGCAGGTTAAGTAGAAAAGAGAGAAAACGCTTTCTGAGGGTTTTTTTGCTTCATTTATAATAAATAATACCTAGAGGATGACTATGAAGCACGATGAAGATTTCTAGATCCTTTTTTAATCCTGTCATCCACCCGTGTGAGGGTTCAGACCTGTAAGGTTCAGGGCATGTGCGATATATCTGAACTGCTTTGAGGTTTGACCTAAATCCGAGTGACCTGACTGAGGGTAAACTTTTGCCCCCTGCATCTGCCTCTTGGGTGCGTTAAACCAACCCGGGGAAAGAGCTTGAATTTACAAAGCAGGAAAATGACCTCCTTAAATGAGCTTCAGCGAAGTGAAGTCTGACAAACAACAGCGCAGCGTGGTTGCTGTCAGTCGGCACATCTCTGTCACTTTAAATTACTGCAGGACACGTCCATGCACGGAGAGACAAGCAGCAGTTCAGAGAGGCCTGCCGTGCGAACACAACTGTGAAATCTCTTCTTCTCCTGAATGCTGTTTGTGGAAATCACATCAGCGTGACGGGTGTAACAAACACTGAGTGATCAGCTGGAGTACATATACATTAGGCCACATGTGTTCACACAGGGAGCAGGCGCTGAAATGTTTTCTAATGAGTGATCATAAAGCTGTCCTCCTACACTCCGGCTCTAATTATGAACAGCAGCAGCAGCGGCGTGGAAACCAGTGAAGAGTCTAACTAGGACTGCCTCAAACATCTGGCGACATGGTGAGGAACGACAGTCGTTCCAATAAGACAACTCTGGGCGATCAACCTCAAAAGACATCCAGATGAGGAAAAGAAATACAAAGTGCTGATGTCTGCTCTTAGGAAACAGCCTTTTTGAATGATCACCACTGCAGTAGATTTAGCCACTTTTTTATAAACTCTTTAGGCTTCAAAATAACAGCTGCTTCTCTGGAATTGAGATGGCAAGTGTTTGTTATGGCTACCTGCAGATTTCGTCCAACGGTTTCCTCTCCTTTCGACTTGGCGCACGCCAGTTGCTCCCTCAGCATCTCCTGTCGCATGTGGATGGCCTGCAGCGCCTCCTGGATGTCGAAGAAGTTCTCCTGTTGGTGTGACAGACAAACACGTATACATGTTTTGGGTTTCCATTTTATTGTTTCTTTAAGATTCATTTGAAGGTTCTGGTTGGTTCTCAGAGCCAAGAAGAAATTGAGTTTCTCTCAGTAGTCAAGAAAATATGGTGTTTTAGTATGAAACTACAAATCTCAACCCTGCAACTGACAGCTAACATCTTGGTGAAGTGTCAGTCACACAGGTAGAGTATAATGAAGTCAGTGTATGTGCAGGTAATCCCCATGAGCCGAACTCTTTAAAAGCTGCTCCAAACACACAAATAGTTTTTTCTACTCATGGGTTTTTATGATGTCAGTAAGAGGGAATTCCTTATATGCTCCACCCACCTGCTTTTTAAATCTTCTGTTTGGGAGAGGTAGCCAATCAAAAGAAAGTTGGCTTGAAGGGGGAGGAGCTAAATCAACGAGGCTCAGTATGATATAAAGATGGATTATTTTAAACTGTGATTCATGCAAAGCTACCTTAGGGGAATATTTTCAAAGCACGAAGGTGTTTTTTGAACTGACATCCAATTTGTGGCTGATATTTTTTAAATAACATTTAACGGTTAGTTTTGTTTCACCCTTCACTGAGCACATGAAACTGTATACAGCAGAGCAACAGAGCAGCAGGTCAAAGACAAATTTCTAAGAATTTTTAGAGGTTAAATTTGCACAAAATACACTGACGCTGTTCAAGGCTTGTTCTGGTATTTAAAAATGATAATATTAATGAAAACTCCAGGCAATATAGAGAACATTTTAATAGAAAAGAACAATTAAACAATTAAAATAAGAAAACAATATCATTTCTGGAGGCGGATTTTATTAAAATGAATAAAGTCGCTAAGAAGCGTTTTACTCTGTTATTAATTAGTTTGAACTTATTTTGTCAACATATAAATAATTGCAACTATTTTCTTTCACGTTACAATTTAAAAACTAATTAATAACACACTAATAAAGCTTATTTATTTAAAAGAAGAACTAGTATTGCTGCTATTTCTTGCTACTTATTTTGGTTATTGGGTTTATCAAAGCTTACACAATACAAATTCCTTTGATTTGTTTATTAACAGACTCGGGGGAATTTTTTCTCACTGTGGATTTCTGCAGAAATTCCCCCATCTTTAAGAGATCAGAGTAGTTTTTGTGAGCAGGTGTCGGCTTATCTGCAGCTCCGAGGTCCCAGCCGAGTGTGCGTCCGCCACATGTTTTCGATCAGAGGTCTACACGCTGAGAGGAGCTATTCAAAGACAACTCTCTCAGTCAACTGTGTCAAGAGAGGAGCACTGAGAGTCCTTTGTACTCTATTCAATGGTGATGCTGATTCGCCCTTAATGTTCCTGAAAAAGTCTTGCAGAGGAGCTCCAGCTGGCCACATCTTTACATTTCACACATTGTAAATACTGAAAATTAGCCAGCAAGGCAGTTCCGGTCATCATGTTTTCAAATAAACTGGTGAATTTAATGAATAGGAAACATTTCGTAGGGATTACTTTCTCATTTTAAAATGACTGTTTGGTAGAAGACAACCCCTGAGGGGTCCAGAAACTGTTCAGAAGCTATTCAGGTTGCAATCAGTTAGGACAAAACAAGTTAAAACCTTTTATTCCAACAAAAAAAATGGATCTTTCCTGAATTTCTCATTGCCTCTTCCTGTTAAAGGGTGGTTCTTTCTCCCCACAGTTGCCAAGTGCTACTAATATTGGATTATGTGATAGCTGAGGTTCTTTCTGGTTCTTCTGTAATATTTTAGGGTGTTTAAATTACAGTATGAAGCACCTTTTAAATATTAAAATCATGTCAGATAGTGATTTTTGGATATCAGTAAATTTTAAAATCGAACAAGGAAAACTAATGAACACCATGGAGAGTCTGAGAAGCTTTTTTAGCTTGGAGGAACACTCCAGAGTTAGGACAGTCTCTTGATAGTTTAAAGGAAATAGAGACATCTCAGTAAAGCCCAAAAATATTTGACAAATGTTGAAATCAAGACGCAAATTGAAAAAAATCTGACCATACCTCTGTTTTAATTCTTTTAGGTGACGGCTCGTCTCGGTCTCCACAGCGAGACCTGCAGAGAAAAGTCATAATGCACACATGTCAGTTCCATTGCAACCACTGACATCCAGTTTTTATGCCGAGAATTCGCTGAGCTGACAATTTACCTGGGGAAAGCTTTTTAAAAATGAAAGCATCACAAACGCCAAGAAATGTGAACACGTGATTCATGATGGGCTTAGACAGATGGTCACATGTGTAGTCCAAACACTGTTGGCTCATTTTAGCTTTAAAACCAAACAACTTAAATCTGAAGTCGGCTTCAGTAAGGAAAAGGGGCTCTTACTTGCTGGTGCGGTAGGTGTATTTGTAGGTGACCTCCCTGGAAATCTGCCGGGCGAGTCCGAACAGCTCGTCGCGGCGTGTCAACAGAGCCATGTCCCTCATGCAGAGCTGTGCCGCCGCTTCGTTCACCGTCAGCTGTGGGACACACACGTACAGATAAATCAGGTTACACAGGAAGACCCCCACAGGACAACATTAACCAGAAAAATATGCGTTCACCCACTTCGTGAAGCGTCAGGTGCTTGCCGTCCCTCCTCTTGGAGTCAAAGCGTCCATAGATGGCGCTGTACTTCCGGATCTCCTCCTCCCTTCGCGGATCATCATCGCTCATTTCAAAGATGTGTCCGATCATCTTTCCTAGCTTCTTGTTGTTCTTCAGCTGCTCTTTCACCTCAGCCAGGTCCGCCTTTGGGAGGCCAGGCGCCATTCTGTCCACACACTCCATGACCGACTGGACAGCGGCTGCGTCCAGAGCTTCTAAAGCCTCTCTGGGCGAAGATGGGGAGCCGAGGTCTGACGGAGACAGGCTGTGCTCGCTATCATTGCTGTGGCCCGACCAGAACCTCACCTCGCTGCTGCCCTGCAGTGGTGATCCGGCCGACACTTTGTCCCTTGCCACGTCCAGCTTCCCCGGGTCAGAGCAGGCGGCGGCGATGGCTTTGGGCATCTTGACGCTGGCGGTACTGGCGCGGTCCTGAGCGCTGAGCAGCGTGGGTGAGCCCTCGGGCAGTTTGTACACGGGGATGCTGCACACGGGCAGCGAGGTGAGGGGCTGGTTAAAGATGGCGGGGTTGGTGACCCAGTCTCGCAGTGCCTTCTGCAGGCGGCGCACGTGCAGTGGCTTGCTGGCCATGCCGACGAGGGCCATGATCTCCAAGAACTCCTCCTCGCCGGCCTCGCAGAGCTGCTGCACGTCGTCACCGCCCTGCTGGATGAAGGCCTCGTAGTAGTAGAGCAAGTTTGCCCGCTGCAGGATCCTGTAGAGCTGCAGCTCACCCAGGGTTCTCGGCAACACCGCTGCCATACCTAAGAGACGACAAACAGAAGGCCAAAGGTCACTCAGGCACTAAGCTAAGCTAACAAACAGTCACACATGAGATATTGATCTGAAAAAAAAAAAAAATACCACGATTGGATGAACAGTTATTATAACCTATTAATATAGTGGGAAGATGAATGTGTGGAGGGCCAAAAGTGCCAAATCCACCCCCCACCTCCAAATTGAAGGTGCCAGATAAATATTGCAAAACTAATAACGATTGAGGCATTGATCCAAATAATAATAAATAAATATCAGCAATTAAATATGTTATTTGTGATGATTTTTATACTGTATTATTTACATATTATTACTAATTGGTTCAGTTGTACGGAGGACTGACACTGTCAAAATTAAAAAGAAATAAATAAAAAGAAATAAAAAACAATAGAAAAACAAATAGTGAAAAATAATATATAAACAGAGGCATTAATACAAATCAATATATTTTCTTTCTTTGTTTTTTCTGGTGAAATTTAGTTATAAAAGTGCCACCATTTAGATTATACTCTGTAAAATGTGTGGGTATAATAAGCTAAAGCTACACCCTGCAATTTTACAGTCAATAATTTGTGTTTTTTTTTCTGCTTTATTTGTTTGTTTAATTTTTTAAAAGCATTCTCCAATTGTTGTTGAAAACTGTAAATAACCACTGAAATACAATCCCCCCATTTATTTTTACTTTTGGCAATTTTAGACTTCCGTACCAGGAAACAATCTTCCTTAATCTTAATCTTCCATAAGATAACAATAACAGATTGTGGTAGTTCTCTAAGATCGAGTCGTTGAAACGCTTCAGATGTAGAAATGTCAAATCAGTCACGTTCTGACTGAAATCCTCCTGCTGAGTGCCAAATGGTGAGAAACACCAATTTGCCCTTTAAGGAGAAAACAGAAAGGGGGAAAAATGATGCGCTCACATGACACTAACTCAGTGCTTTGTTAAGATCATCAACAGTCAATCTCAACAAAGCAGGAACATGTGAATTTCTCTCAATGAGCAGACACTAAAACTGAAAAGAGAGCATGAGGACTTTTGACCTTGGAGACAAAAAACGGAAGTCAAGTTTTTCACTTGAATCTTCACAGCTGAAGAATGTGAAGATGAAAAAAAGAAATGTAAAAATAAATATGCAGTTTTTACTGTTTTCACTGGAGGCTCCATTGCTCATCTGAATTAGCTGCTGTGAGCTGACATGGAGACACATTTCTAAGAACAATGCACAGGAATTATATTTGGACTGCACTTGTTATCCTTGGCATGTGCAGGGTTCCTGTTTATCAGGAGTCCACAGGTGCGTGGATAGGTGAAATCTGCCTCCACTTTTCCGCCAGAAACCACAAACAGCTTTCGCTTTGCCCTGCTTTAACTAACCTACGTCGATCCAAGTGTCTCAAATAAAGAAGTAAACGTTAAAACCAAAGAAAAGGGCAGAAATGAAGTGAAATAATAATTATGAACAACAGTAGTCCAGTAAAACTACTAAAACCTACAACTGAAATTTACTTACTAAACATCCAAAACACAATCAAAAAACAAGGTAAAATCATAATTAACAGCAGATGCGGGTGCGTAGGCAGCTCATTTAGTGTTTTTTTTCCAAATATCGTTGAGCTTCTGTGCCATATTTTGCTTGAATGAACATTATTATTGGTTTTAGTTGATAGCACTGCATCAACCCAATCCTGGCTTCTCTATATTCGATCCCTGTGTGGTTTACAATTAAAATTCAGGGAGACATCACTGAAATGTTGGCTGTTTTCAGCCTCTGATCCTCCGGTGAGTCCTTCTCCTGCTCCAAAGTGGAGACTTGAATCTACAGACCAATGCACGAGCAGATAACTCTTGTATGTAGCATTCATACAACACATGTAGATAGATGGAAATCTTTACTGGAACACGTGTAAGATTTAACTCCAGTGCGTGGAGGAAATTTGAACTTGATCAAATGAGTGTGGAGAAAACACGGTGCACATGTTGGTGATCATACCTGGATATGGTCTAGCATACTAATAAAACAGACACATCACAGGTAGGTTGCTACAACCTGCCCATCCAGCATACAATATCTGCACTGAGAAGGTACAAGAAATATATACGTTGCAACAAAGTATTTATTGCATTGCATTATTTATTGCAATTACAATCCTGTCAACAATTACAATCCTGTCATGCCCTTTGCGTTCTTGTGTATACACATATATACACACAACAGTGGTTTGTTTTCTCTGTCTGAAAGCTATAAATCACATGGATATAGCTTTAAAAACTGGGAAAACAGGAATTGTGCACACAACTGTGTAAGTGTTATAACACATTTTTACAGGGCTGTTTAAGTAACGTTGTTATTTTACTGTCAGTTTACTGTCTTTTTAATTTTACTGTTATTTTAATCTTTTATTGTTATTTATTACAGACATTTTAAGTTCTTGTTTTGTAGTTTTTATTTTAAAAAAAACAACTTTTTCTTAACTTTAGTTGTTTTTTCTATTCTAATTTGCCCTCTGAGCTCGCCTGCCAAAGCACTTTGCAAACTCTGTTCTCAAACTTGTTAAACTTGTACAAAAAATGTCATTTTTAAATTGCTGCTTTAGCTCTAAATGTGGGTCTACAAACATCTGTGAATCCCTGTGAATAAACGTCTTCTGCGGGCCCACTCGCCGTCCTTTGAGGACGACGCTCGCTTGGCCTTTAATTTTAAAGAAATGATTGAATCTCGTCACTTGCCATCTCAAACTGAGAGAAAACAGGAGAGAAGCTCAGAAACTGGCTTGTTTTTCGACTCTCCCTGTGTGCATGTGAGGCTCTGCGGAGGCCTACAGCTAACAGAGGAGTGGCAGTCAGCGAGCCTGGGTTACTGGGAGGACCACATGCCTCTCTCCACCCCTGCAGGATGTGTAGGTGGTGGGCTCGCCTCGCCCAGAATAGGCTCTGAGAGCCTCAGCCCAGGGAGCCAGGGAGCCAGGCAGGCAGGCGTCGAGTGAGCAGGGAGAAAGACAAAAGCTGCCTAAGACAGAAAACTGAAACCATCCTCTTTAAAATACGTGGATTTATTCAGTCTACACAGATATCAGAGATCACTGGCACTCAAGGTGACCTCCAGAAGAGCTCCTCTAACTCAGTTTCCTTCTATAAAAACGAGTTTTAGGCAAACAACCCAATAAATGGAAAAAAAAAATAATTTTTAAAAAAACGGAATCAGACAACTTTTGAAACTTCCACTCCACGTCCTTATCTTCAACTCACAAATTCTGTTTAGAATAACAACTTTTGTAGCATCTACACAAATGACCAACTGAATAATAACAGTGTCCCTCAGCAAACCTGTAAACATGTCTAGACTAGAGGAAAGATGCCTCCTTTTTTTTCTTGTTTCTTCCAGCTGCAAACAGGTCAACGTGCTTTCTGATTGTAGAAATCTCTCCATTTAACCAAAAAATAAAAATAGTCTTTCCTGGAGTGACGGTTGGAAAAGGAGGAACGATTACGGGCGGTAATAACAGGTAATTTAAGTTCACAGGTCTGCATCACATTCACTATAAAACTTTTAAAAAATGTGGATATAACGTGTGATGTGAAACTCGAGAAAGGCTTGTTGTTTCCTGAGCACAACTTCTCAGTGCGCTCGCTTTCCATTTATGTCACCTCAAGAGTTTACGTTAGCCTTTCCTTACAACTACGGTGGCTTTAACAGAAAGTAATGACGCGGCAAAAAACAATCACTGTGTCAAAGCAAGAGTAAAATTTCACATGAAAACGTGACTGTTTCCAGTCTTTCAATGACAAAAGGTTTGTTTATTTAAGCTCAATGTGAACAAAATGTGACAAAAACTGAAACTAAATGAAGCTCGAGTTCACAAAGAACTCTTGAGCTTTTGTTTTAGCGCTTACACAAGCTTCTTATCTTATGAAAACAGCAAAAATGACTGATCTTAATGATTTGGTTCATTTATGATTCAAAACATCCTGATTTGGCAGCTTGCACACAACATTTGATTTAATTCTTGGAATAAGGATGTTTTTTTCTTTCTTGAAATGTTATTATTTAGTACTCTGAGAAAAGGTGCAATAAAAACCTGAGATTTTTAGAGTAATTTGGCTCATTCAACTCTGAACCTGCAGACGCTTCAGAGCTTTTGCTCGTCTGCGTGTGAATCTGTAGGCGAGGGATTTTTGCTTCTGGAAGTTTTCTGGTTTCCGCCTGTATTCTGAGTTCTATTAAAACTGGATTTGGCTGCAAACAGGTGAACAGTCTGTGAGCACAAACTCAGTCTCAAAATCATCCTACTATCAGGTTATTATTAGCTTCTTTAAAAAGCCTTTATAGATTGGGGATCTTGAATAGAAACCCTGAAAAAACTGCCCGCTGCTCCCAGAAACAAGTTGGCAGACTGTCCGATGGGCACTACTTAAAACAAACAAACAAAAGAGTTTGGTTTTACACATTACTTTCCATTTTTATCTTGTAACATCTACCAGGTCACCCAGGTCACCCATCTAGGGATAGTGTTCAGTGAGCCTTCACCTCTTTTATGAAATATTTGCCTTTCTGGAAAACAGAAAATCCTCTTTGACTGAAAGGTAACAACATCCAATTTCTTTACCCAAAACAAAACCCAACCTTAATCGTAGACTAGTCTCTGAAGTTATTCATTCCCAGTTGCTGCTTTTCTGTCTTCTTTTCTGTCTTATTTGGAAATGTGCCATCGGTTAACTAGGCTAAACTAGCTTACATCCTGATCCTGAACACAAAGCCGAAAACCAGCCCAAAGAGCACTTTAGCGATTCTACGAATGAAGGAGGTACAAGCAGAAAAGGGCGGCTACGATGCTGCGTGCTGTACTTTTGAAAATAAAGCTCTGGCTGCTTGGTTCGGGAGTTCGTCTAGGGAAAACGGCATGCTCGACAGCTTTTTTTCTATCTGCCTCTCATGCAGATAACTGAGGAACTTACCATAACTGTTTGATTAGTAACTGTAATGTGGTTACAGTTGTGTAGCACTGCCCACTTGGCCTAAAGCAAAGCTTTCTGAGGAGCAAATTCTCACCATGTGACTGTGACCAACCAATCAGGCATTAGGCCAGAAGAAGCACTGTAGCAACATCCCGCTGTCCGCATGTGATTTGCTGATACATGTACCAGTTTATTCATGTGTTTTTTAGTAAATGTCGGCCTCTCTGTTCTGTTCAAGACTTTTTCAAATTGATTAACCTGAAACCATGCAGCAACTCATTAATGATGACCCTGCGGTTGCAAATGGATAATCTCAGACATGCTCTAGGCTATGAACTGGGAATTTACCAATTTGACCCTTGTCCTACATCTATCTGTGCTTATATTAGCCTAACCATACCTCTGTAGCCACCCACCAGGTAGAACAAAAAAACCCTAACCCTGAAAACATTGCTGGTATTTAGCTTTCTGTGTTTGTTTGCATGCATGGACGTTAAACTTTAATGTGCGCCCGGTTAAAAAAGCCTCACTGCTCATTTAACTCTGAATGTTCCAGTGTTTGTTAATTTCAGTTCAAGTCAATTTTAAAGCCAAATCACACCAACAGTTGTAAGGTAAAGACCCTACAATAACGGAGAGAAACTCCAAGAATCGGACAACTCCCTATGAGCAATCACTTGGCGACAGTGGGGAGGAAAAACTCCCTTTTAACAGGGAGAAACCTAAGGGATTCCTCCTGAAGGAGCGTTTTTACCCAGAAATGGCTAGCAACATCAGATTTATTAGGGGCTGTCTCGAGTTTTGAGGGCTTTACTAAAAAAACATTGTCCAGGCTTGCATTATTTTTGCAACACGCCACACTCATTTGTTCCCATGGGTTCCCCCCTTTTTTGCATTTAAAATAATTTACTTCACAAGCATATAGGCTGAGCTGCTCTCATGTGTTGAGGTCATTTTGTTGAGTAAAGGTCTCCCTGTGTTTGGCTAACCTATTTCATGGGCTCACTTACTTCTGAAAATAGCCTCTATTTGCATGTCTACGTATTTCTGATATGATCATTATGTTTCTGGGATAGAATGAACCCACATTTTGAGCCTTTAGAATTGACCCCATTAACCCCCACATACACATGCTTTTTTTCTCTAAATGTTGGTTTAGGAAATGGAATATTTGAGGATAAACTCATTATTGTTATTATTTTTCAGGTCCACTGTTAAGCATGTTGCACACCCCACATAACTAACATATAAATTAAGTTTCATTTTCTGATGAACACGAACGCCTCTCCTATCATTTTAGCATTAATGATAAAACCACTCATCCTCCTTCAGATGCTCAGGAGGCACTCGCCAGCCTAAGACGGGTATTTACCACCATCTTAGCCCCACAGATGCTTCATTGTTAGACTGATAGGTTGGAAAAAGTGGCAAAAAACAAATAACATTGACTGTGAAAAGACCCAACCCTGCTAGATCATCATATACTCAGGTGTTTTACTCATCTGTTCCTTGGCATTAAACTGCTGTGACTTAAATGCAGCAAAAGCTGTAAAAGTTGAACAGTATAGGATGATTTCTTTGGGGTTTTCTCGGTGATGTAAGATAGTAAAATGAATACGAAGCGTGCCTTCTTTCAGAAAAAAGAGAATAACCACCAGATGAACTAACAATGAAATGATTAGAGGAGTTTTCTTGTTCAATAAGTGTTTTCAGCAGCAGAAGGTTATCTGTCCCTCTACACTGCTGTGTGCCTACAAATAGAAACACTGAATTCATTCACTCCACTTCAGTTCCACTTGTTGTCAATTCTTTCAACCATCTGCACAAACACTCCCAGCCATCTTACTCTAGTTTCATCACAGCAGGCGTATGTGTGTGTGTGCGTCTGTGTGCGCGAGGATGATGAATGCGTGTGTGTGAATGGCAGAATCTTAAGTGAAGTCCTGCTCCACAAAAGCGAGTTTTGCCAGTTGGATCTTTTCACCTGGAGAAACGAGGCGTGCGCTGCCACAATGGCACACACACACACAACACATGTACACGCATTCATGATGAGTGGATTTCCAGGTGAAGTGCCACGCAGAAGCAGCAGTCCTCCCTCAGCGAGCTGAGAAATCCTTTGATTTCACTGTGATTCAGGAGGAAATTCCCAGAACTACTGTTTGATATCATCACCCGAGCGGCCTGGAAACCATCAGCTCATCTGCCAGACTGTCTGGGATGTTACTCCAACCCTTTGTGAAAAAAGAGCCACTCAAACCCGGCATTCGCTCCAGTGATGAAGCAGCTAAAAACGGCACAAAATGACGCACAATACATCGGAGATCCTCTCGCTCTTTCCTCAAATATTCCTGTAGCAACTTGTCCGTTGACACTCTCGTGACACTCTCCGCAAACCCACCCACCCTGCATAGGATGCTAGAAATTTGGATATAAATGTTTATTTAGAGGCATTCCCATCCCGTTTTTAAAAAAATAAATAAACGGTTTCTAATGGACTGGCGCTTTGGTTTGTGTTTACCTCCCGCTCATGTGGATATTATTATCCCTACAGTGTTATAACACAGGCAGATAGTTTTGCTACAGCGCGTAAAAATGACTTTAGAGCTGTTTTTACGTCCCCTCGTAGAATTTTTAAGCTGACTTTAAAGCACATGCAGTAATGTCTGCAAGCATTTCCAAGAAAATAAAAAATAAAAATCATAAAATGTGTCTTTGCAAAACATTTCCAATCACCATTATTATTATTAGCAGCAGCAGCAGCAGGTTACATGCACGGTCACCGTCTTTAATTGAGCCTACCTGGTGAGTTTTTGCCCCCCTCTGGTCCGCCCTGGTCCGGTTCCTCGTCTTCCCTTTCTTCTTCTCCTCCTCCTTCTTCTTCTTTTCACACTACCCCTCCTGAGTGTCAATTTGCGCACAAAGAAACCCGCAAAGGAGAGGTCCCGCAGCAGCAGCGAAGTGCGTAAAATTCAAAAGAGAGGAAAAAAAATCTAAATTCAAAAGACGAATAAAGACAAGAATTATCTCCAAGGCGCACACAGACAAAAAGAAGCGCGCCTGCTTGTGTTTGCGTGCTCAGACTGAGCCACTCTCCTCTCCTCTCTGTTTCTGGAAACTTTTCTCTCTCGACTGCCGTTAAGAGAAAGGAGGGGAAAAAACCGCAGAATATGAGTAAAAAAGCCGCTGACCTTCGTGCGTCTTTCGGTGCGTCTTCTTCCTCCTCCAAAGTGTGTGTGAGTGAGTGTGTGTGAGTGTGTGTGTATGTGCGAGGATGATGAATGCGTGTGTGTGTGAGTGTATGTGAGTGAGTGTTTGAGTCCTCTCCCAGCGTCTCTCCACTCCCCCTTCCGCACCGTCAAGTCAGACGCGGTAGTGCGATCCTGCGCTTCCGCCTGCGTTTACGCAAAAAAAAAAAAAATTAAAACACAAGGTACTGGGTGAAGGTGCGGGCGCACTTCTGAATGGAGGAAAAGTGGGCGGGAAAAGAAAAGAAAGAAAGAACACGTTTAAATAAGAGCTGCAAAAATGTTGGATGTTTTATGATTAATGGATCTGTGAGGTATAAACGATGACAGGAGAAGCTGTGGTGAGCCCTAAAAAAGAAAGAAGAAGAAGAAGAAGCACTAACGTGTTCTCTTCAGATTGGTTCATTTACAGCATTTCTTTATCTGGTGGAAAAACTGAGACGTACTGTTGAAATCGCAGTTTTTCTTCTATTAAGACATCTCAGGGATTAAACTGGATTAAAGATAATGTATGCAAATGACCAGTGAACATGAGTGCAGGGGTTCCTCTGCTTGACTAAAACGTCAATCACATCAGTGACCCTCCATGGCGGACGTAACAGGGAACCAGATTCCTATTTTAAACTATTTTACTGAAAATAGAACCAGGGAGTGTTTTTAAAAGTGCTGACATGCCTGAATATTCAATCATCAATAACTCAGACGTTTAACAGTCACAGAGAAACTGCACAACGTGTTCAGACTGTTTGACTTTAAGCACAGACAGCGTCTGTAGTTTTGCAAAACTATGGAAAAATGCAGAAAAATTAAATTAAATGAAAGTAAAAACGAAATAAATAAGTAAATAAAAAACTCTATTAAACGTTCACTACATACATTAAACTGCCATAAAGAGAGCTTAAATCAACTCAAACAGAACGACGCTTTTATTTTGCCAGCTCTTCCTGTCTGACGCGTCGTGAGCGCGCACGGCTTGATGCGGCAGCCGCAGAAAGTGGGATATTCCGCGCGGTTGCCACAGAGCCTCTCTCTCTCGCTCTCTCTCTCTCGCTCGCTCCTTCTCGCCCACGCTGCTCCCTGCGTGACGCAAATCCGCGCGTGGGCGGACACACGGGGCGTGGGAGGCTTTCTGCACGGAATACCAAACACAGGCAGGTTCAACACCCACAGAGAGACAGAGAGACACAGCAGTTTGCACACTTCATGCTCTCAAACTGAACGATTACTGCGGATGTTATCTCATTATTTGATCCTCAGCTGTAAATATTGTCAGAACTAGTAGTCGGTGAATACTGAACCTGATCACCGTGCATTCTTACAAGCTGCTCCACCTTCAAACTTTCTTATATGTTTTAATGTTGTTTTGTTTTTCACATTAAGAGTGTGCATGCCTGTGAATGTGGGCATCAGTACTGCATCTCTATATATAGTCATTGTTTTATGTGTAAATGTGTCCCTCTCAATATATAAACCGTTCAATATGCATCTGCATTTATGCCTATATACCTGTAATGGCTTGAGCTGCTTTAGACACTAGCTGTGTTTAGACTCACTGTCCACATCATTACATACACCTGTTCAATTCTGGTGAGGTTGTGTTAACTGCAGCCCCTCTTTCCAGTTCTTACCTGCAAGGAGTAGCACCCAGTGTGGTCTTCTGATGCTTCTCTTAAAAAAGCCCCAACCCAAAACAAAACAAATGCATGTCTTTATATTATATACAACTTAAAATGTTTCTATAAAATGCACTTTATATACCTCTCTTAATGATGGACACCTGTAAAACTGGTGAGCATATCAGCGTAACCTTGTAATATCTATAAAATACTTTATATTATTTTCTGTATATACAGTACATTTCCTCCATACATGTATTTCTACATACACACACACGATTGGCAACACATCACACAGTGAGTTTTCTTTCAAATTGTGCATAACCAAACATTTTTAAATCCCTATAAATGTCTATATTTTATGTCGTTTTTTTATATTTAGCTATATAAAATGCTTTCATATATGCATTTTCTTCATGCAGTGTGTACATTTACATTTGCATTATCTATGTTTTATATGTACAATGTGTCCAGTGTAGACATTTACCCAGAAAAATGTACGTATGTTTTATAGCTGTGCATTTAGTTATTACATATTGTCTATGCAGGCGACACTTTCACTGACTTTTACATTGTTTCTGCATATACATTTACAATGTTTACAGTATGTTTATTACATTTATTTTATACTTAAATATATATCATTTGAACATTGTAAACATTGTCTATATTCTACATTTGCAAACGTACATGTAGAGTATACTGAAAAAATACCAGTATGTCATCTTAACCTGTTTTCACACATGAGTTTGGGCAATTTGGGGAAAGTCCTGGCTGGGTATTTTCCACAGTATTCCTCAGCAGTTGGCAGGTTAAAGACTGTTTAACATCCTGTCAAAGTGCATTAGACATCAGCGCGTCTGCTGGACAGCTGTCTAGAAGAACTCAAGGCTGCAGTGCAAGCATGTAAACTGCTCTAAATGAGGCATAAAAAATGTAAAAGTTAATGTTTTTCTATAAATAGATGTTAGAGAAGTGCATCTTCACTTCTTAAGTATTACTTTTACTGTCATAATGTATTGTAGCCTACTGCAGTATATAGACTGTGTCCAAATGAACATGTAGTCCAGAATAAAGTGTATAATGTGCTCATATGAATATATTTTTGTTACAGCATGCCTGTCAGTTTATAGTTTGTATTGGAATCAGGTGGAAGCAGTATTTGTAAATTTACATAAGTTAGCATTTGGGGGAAAATATAAAACAAACTTGTTGCATTTGATATATTTTACATTGTAAAGCTACTTTAATGTACTGTATTGAGCTTTTTTTCACAGCATTTTATTTTTACTTTATTTGTATTTTATTTATATTTTAACTTACCAAGCACCATTTTTGTTATACTATCGATGTATCCTACCTCTGTTATAGGTCGTGTTTAATGTTTTGACTGCTTATACATTGGAATTTCACAACATTTGGGATAAAACAGTATCTCGTTTCATCTGATCTTTAAAAAAAAACTCACGGCTTGTTTCTGGAACGAATAAACTCCACTTTTCTAATGTGTCAAATGGAAATTTTCTTCCTCCTCGAAAAAAGTTGGTGGAAATATTCCAGCCGTGGTTCTTACGGTTCCTCCTTCGGGGTGACTGTGACAGGAAGACCCTTGCATAAGTAAACAAACAAAAAAAAAACCAACATTCCCATCATCTGATAAAAATAACAGTGAGTTGAACCCGGACAAGCTTTGATTTTGACTTTCAAAGGCGTCACATTATGACTGTGGCAGCAGCACGCTGTCGTTATCGCTGAGTGATATCTAAACAGGCAGATTTGGTCACGTGCGAGTCTGTAAAGTTGTGCACCACGCAAGTGCGTCAGTGAAACACGCCCGTATGCAAATGTTCAATTGAGATTTCACAATTTTTCATTTGGCTACGGTGTCACAGGGCATGCAAATGGTTTCCAACACAGGGAAGTGGGTAGCAGGAAGCCCTCTGAAATGTGTGTGTGTGTGTGTGTGTATATGACTATGTGAACCTGACTTAGCATTTCAAGTGTTTCCCAAAAGTGACTTTCACACACAGCATTATTATTCTGAAATTTTTTATTATTATTGTACAACAATTACTGACAACACAACCATTACTGTAGGTAATTTTTACTGGAGGGGGTAAAGCTGCTGCAGCTGTGGTGTCAGTGACAGTAATACTACTATTAATACAATTACTATGACAACTACTGGTACTTTTGCTATTGCTTGTACTTAACCCAGTGCTTTAATATTGCTACTACTAACACAAATACCCCAACTAGGTCTGACAGAAACAGATACCAATGCTTCTTTTGTTGTCGATGCTACAAGTTTGCTAGTACTAAACAACACATACTTCTACAAGTAGTACTCATTCCAATGCTTATTTTACTTTAACGCCTACTATTGCATTACAAAACCATAAATACAAACTTTTTATTTGTAAAGTACTACCATCATAACAGACTCTATTACCAATATGCATAGTACTTATTACACAGTACCATTACTACTGTTCCTGCAACTGAAACTATATTCTCTAATACTGTTACTACTATCAGCTTGAATAATTAAATCTAAAATCATGCATTAGTTAGAATGAGAAAAGTTGGATGTAGACATTGTGGTGTCACATGTATTCATTTCAGACATTTTGAAGCCTTAAAGCTGACTTTTTTACTTTTTTTTAGGGGGGGCAGAATTGACCACAGAGGAGTGACAAACTATTAACTAACACCAGCAAGCTTGGTAAGATCCCAATCACACAGGCCTAGCGACCGGTTGGTGACCACCTGGCAACCACAAGCTAACTAGGAACAAATCTGTATTCCCTGATTGGTTTTGAGCGGTTGCCGTCATACGTTGTCAAAGTCCTCGTCGTACATGCCTGGAGACCAGTCAGTGAGCCTGGAAACTAAGAGTAGGTAAAAAGGTATAATTCCCAGCTGGTTGGCAAGTGGATGCTGGAGGTTGCTAGCAGTAGCTGGATGAAATGGTTGCAAAGAGTTCTAAGGTGGTGCAATTAGAAAACCTCCTTGCAGTTGCTTTGGTCATTAGCAGGTTCCTGCAGCTGTGAATAGTTTGCATTGAAGACATCGACTTGTCTGCAAACACTTGCCAACTATTTGCCAAATGGTAGTGATAGTTGAAAAAAGTGCAACATAATCAGAAATGAAAAACATTCATCTTCAAGTTAAAGTTGTTCCTTTTGAAATACACTAGTGTCAATGGTAATGTACAACTTTAACTTTGAAGGAGAATGTTTTCCTTTTGTGGTTTTCATCACAGTTTTTCAAGTTTCACCACCATTCAGCAAGTAGTTAGCAAGTGTTTGCAGACAAGTTGAGGTCTTCCATGCTTCTTATAGACAACTATGGCAATCTGCTAGTGACCAAAACATCTACAAGGAGGTTTTTAGTGCTTAACCCTATTTGCGACCCAACAACCACTCACTAACTAGTCAAGGAATACACATTTTCCCTTAGTGACCAGAGGTCACTGTGGCTGTTGCCTTTACATTT